ATTTTTCGTTCATCTTGTCGAGTAAGCAAGTTTTTGCCGGTACCTTTACGATAACTTGGGACACCCAGTATTAACATGAAATGGGAGTCATTAATCTATGATAATAATAATTGTATATACTAGATACTAGATGTTCTTACTGTCTCAGAGAATGTGTTCAACAGGTCATATTATTATCTCCCCGCCATTATGGTAGATTATTTCAAATTTTGCAGTGAATTAATGATAATTAATCATCTGCTCTGACGAAAAAGACAAAAATGTTCCAATTCAGGTGGGATCGAGAATCAAATATCTACCTCAAATTTGTGGGTAGATATCGAACGACCTTTTTTTTAAAGAATACCCGGCCAACTCCTCGGAGATTTTTTCAAGTGATAAAGTTTACTTGATCAATGTCTTGCTATAGAATAATATATTCAAGCTCATTACGTTGATCTAACTCTAAGTTTGGTAACTCAATCTTTTTCGCTGAAACAAATATCCCGTAAATTTAACTCCACCCCAAACAATATAGCTGGCGCTAGCTAGACTTCGCTGACAGGAGACTGCTGATAACCAATGACTTCTCAAAAATTGAACACCTTACCATATTAGTGGCGATCATGTGACGATTGATGCAAATCCCAGACAGCACTGGATATTCATAGAATATTCTCTAAATATGCTAAAAAGGAGGAGTATATTCCAAATATTCATTGATTATTCCTAGAATATATACATGCCTCTGGAACATCTAAAAGGAATATTCCAAAGTGAATAGTCGGACATGTTCAGGGAATATTCAGGTATGAATCTTCCAGGAATATTCCCAACTGAATATTCTCTGTTGTATATTCATGAAATATACCCAACTGAATATTCTGTGCGGTATATTCATGGAATATACCCAACTGAATATTCTGTGCGGTATATTCATGAAATATTCTCAACTGAATATTCTGTGGTGTATATTCATGAAATATTCCATGAATATTCCTATGTTTCTCAACACATAAATAACATTTATTATTTCAGAGATGTGAGTATCGAACATCAATTAGATGTAAGGGGATTTTGAAACAAAAAGTGTTTATGATCCGATTTCGAACAATGCTCTCACAAGAACTTGATATGTATAACATTATTCAATTCGATTACTGGCCTAGTGGTCAAGGCGTTGCTCTGATAGTCTTGAGGTCACGAGTTCGATCCCTACTTGGGTCACTTTTTTTAATTTTAGAATATGTTTATTGGAATATTCCAGGAACATTCTACATAGAATATTCTTTTGGGTATATTCTATGATTATCTGAGGAATTCCCATTCGCATATTTAGAGAATATTCCACAGATATTCCGGAATATTCTAGATTATTTCTAGAATATTCCAATATTCCAAAAGGAATATGATAGGGAGATTCATGGAATATCTGGTGCTGTCTGGGATATCGCTTTGAAAGGCCTCGTTATAAGGTGATGTGCACGGATTCTTGAACAATTCATAGTTGCGAGCACTTGAAGAGTTCGCTATTACTAATTGATGCGAATTTCCCAAAGTTCTCTTCACAAGGCGATGCGTGCGAAAATCTCAAACAGCTCGGAGTCGCGAGCACTTACAAGACCTCGCCAGAAGCAATTGATGCGAATCTCCCAATGTCCTCGTCACAAAGCAATGTATGCGAATTTCTCAAACAGCTCATGATTGCGAGCACTTTCAGTTATCGCCAGTGGCGAAGGAAGCGTATATCTCAAAGTGCGCGCCTGAGGGCATTGTATGAGAATTTCTGCATGCGATATCTTCAAGACCTCGCTGAGCTCAGCCTAGGTGGCGGACATTTGGCCTAGATATAGCACTCTCGGCGATCTCTCAAAGAAGTTACAAAAGGCATCACAATTTCCTAAAAGGATTTCTTCAAGATATCTTTAGGACCTCTTTGTGCTGGCTGGGGCATAGCATAATAAAGCTTTCATAACTCTAAGCATAACCCTCTTCAGGCAAAAATGGGAAGGAAGCAGAGGATCATGTCATGAATTGAAATTCCTTCCGTGGGAGGTAAAATAAATCGGCTGCAGCTTGCTTCCTTGGTAGAGATATACGTATAAGATCTGTGCTACCCAAGTACCTAATGAGTGTCTTCTTCACTTCTTTCAAACAGATAACAATTGCCCTTTCAAACTCCAATAAACTCATACACTTCCTCAATGCACAAACTCACTCAATCGAATGTCGAAACTTCAAATAAAATGCAATATCACAATAAGCAAATTCAATATGACAGAAGTGTCAAATTGATTATCGTTCAGATTCAAATATACTGTCAATAATTGTCCATTGCATACTCTGTGGTCGCATACTACACTTTTGTAACACATTAATTTGGATCGAGACTCGAGAGATACACCGCTTGCAGCACAATTTTAAGACCGAAACTCTCAAATACATGCGTTCGTGGATAAAATCATATATATATATCTTGGTAGCAAAGGTTAATTTCCTCCCATGTGTGTTCAATGCCGTCCTGTGGCTAGAATTTTTGATTATTGATAATCCATATCATGGTTTATATCAGTAACATAACCTGCAAGGGCACATATCTCAGGATGTTGTCTAGTCGCTCCTGTGGGCGGTGAATCTGCTGGCTAAAGATGGTTCAGATAGGCCGATATCGTGTTGGTCACCATCTGCACAGAGGATACTGTAGACTACATATTGCCTTTGACTAAAATTTCGAATGTTTTGTTACACTGTCCTGTCCAAAAAATGTTACATCGACTTTCGAACATTTTTTACACCATTGCAATCATCCTCGGATAGTGTTAGTGCACGAAGAAAATAAATCACTTACCCTAAGAGAATATTTGATGATGGCAAGTGGAAACTTGTATACTAATTGGGACAAGAAAGCAAGTTAATAACCACGAGAATATTTGTGTTCTTGAAAATGTACACCTACTACTATCAACCTGTTCCATCAAATTTCAGATTGATAACCGTAAGTGAACACATCACTCGTCATTAGTGAATCATTCACTTATCATTAGTAACTTGTTCACTTGTTATTGGTGACTTATTGATTGTCATCAGTGACTTTTTCACTCGTCATTAGTTACCTAAACACATGTCATTAGTTACTCATTTACTTGTCATTAGTGACCAATCTACCTGTCGTTAGCTGAGTATGACAAAGTACATATTTTGTTCTCTCACAAATGATAACCTTGGTAAAAACAAAAGAATTTGTGCTTTCGAAACATGTATCGTATAGCCATGATGAATCCAGAACTCACAAAAATGTAAGGCTGGCGACAAATATTGAGACACTAGGTACCGGGTATATCCGAATCATATGCTGAGAAAGCCGATCCATCAGATTCACTGGTACACTTTTTATTTCTCCAGTGATACTCATCAAACGTCACTTTCTCCTACTTCGAGTATCATCGGTAGTGGAAAATAATTCTGTATCTATAGATTTCGAAAACGCCCGAAAGGACTCTGCATACAAGGATAATCCGCGAAGCTCTTGAGATAGAGAAGCGACCTGTCCTGGATTACTGTCTCCATATTTGGAGTGCAGCACCCAAACATACCCTGAAACTGTTGGATTCGTCTCGTGGGTGATGCCTCGCTCAAAAACTCACTAACTTCTCTGGAACACCGTAGAAAAGTTGTCGATCTGGCTCTATTTTATAGATATTTTCATAGACGATGCTCTTCTGAAATATCAACAATTGTTCCGACCTTGGCAGTCCCCACGAGATTAATCCGTCGACTTGTGGCTTCGCACCCCGTCGTGGTCACTTTGGAGACCTGCAGAACATCTCTTTCCGAAGACTCGTTCATCCAACGAACAGCGAGGCTCTGGAACACATTGCCAAGGGAGGTGTTCCCCAAGGCATATAACTCCAAGAAATTTAAGAAGAACCCCAATCCTTACGTTATTTCCCTTGGTTCTCACAATGTTCTCTGAATATTACAGGATATCTCTTGTCGTGGGAACCAGAACATAAAATAAAATATTCGCGACGACGGCCGCAGACTTTCTAGAACTTGGAAATCTCCCATTTCCCGCATTTCTACACCCTGCGCAATATCAAACCATGCTTCCAGTTCCGCTTCACTGACCACCATATCCACTATAAATACTGCTCCACCACCCAAACACCCTCAGTTCCCCTGAAAGAGTAGGCAGATTGAGACCTCAGAGAGAACCAGTGATGAGATCTGGGGAGTAGGCAAATTGAGACCCCGGCGTTAAGTCACATACCTTCCGTGATATCAACTGAAGAGTAGGCAGATTGAGACCTCAGTGAAAAATCACTCCCTATATTTTTTTATCATTACTCACGAGTTGCGATTGAGATTCGCCTTCTTTTCAGCAAATACTGGATATCATAATCGGAGACAATATTCCAAACCTGATAACTAAAGTATCGTAATCGACACGAACCCGGTAAAAAATTCCATCGACTGGTGTGGGATGAACATCGTTGTTCATTGCAGATTTGATCATTTCATAATTTTTGTATATACTCACTCATACAGGTATGATTTTCAATATACTGATGTTCTTTATGATCAATAGTGCAAACTTCGATCAAACAATAATTTCACACACCAGATTGGTACCTGTCACTTTACATCAGATATAATACATGCATATCAAATCATGGTATTGCCATCTAGTGGCATAGTTTGAAAACGTGGATGAAATATCTCTTCATGAGTATACTCGATCACGATCTGAATGATGCAATGTGAACTGAGAAGAAGAGCAGGAAGTTTCTGTTCGGAACAAAACTTTGAGTAGAAGCACCGTCTACAGAACAGCTTTCCTGCCACTGGAGGGGCTGAGTTTTCAAGAATATTCGGAAAAGAGTCCCTTATTTTGAATGAGATTGATATCATAGAGAAGGTTTCACCTTGAGTGCATTTGAGTAGGATTGATATTGCCTCGAGATCAGACTGGATTCAATGAACTCGTAAGACATAGATGTTTCTTCTTGATCACGGCAATTATGGATGGAGCAAAGAAGGGCAATTATCATAAGGAAGTCGTAAACAGGATGGCCAGCTCACCATATAGAGTTTGCGAGAGGGTCCTTGATGTAGTGTCAGCAATGTTGTCTCTACATGAGACGTGATACCAAAGAGATGGGGAAACCCTTCACACAGGTGCTACTCTCGATTCAGCAAATATTGCATGGAAATTTCGATTAGAATGTACTACTTGGAGTCACGTGACTACAGCATATCCCCTTCGACTTGCGTCAGGAAATTTGATGCATTGACAGGAAATTGTAGTTTTCGAAACAATGAGTCGGGGCACTCGAATTGGGGAAAGGTGTAAGTAAACTAAAATTTCAATAGCAGCATCAGCTACAACATCAAGAAGAAATGGTCGAGTCTGGAGGAAAGAGAGTGGTAAATGTGATAACAAATGTTAATTATTGATTGCCCACTTACGTAGTTCGAAACCCCGTCTGCTAGGAACCTCAACTGAATCATTCTGGATTCCAAGCGCGACTTCAATAGAGCTCGAACTCAAACAACCAGGAATTGAGATTTATTTTCTCTCAATTGCTAATGAATGATTATTGTCCTAATTGCTAATGCTAAATATGGACTACAACTAAGTTCAAAGGTGACTATGGCGAACATTCGTTCCATGTCGGCAGTAAATCAAACAAGAAATGAAGCCGAATTCGGGTAAGAATATCCACAAGATCAGGTTGCAATTTCCGACCAGGCAAAATTCGATAAATCAAAGAGAGGTTGTTCGATACATCTGATACCACCCTCAATTTGGTGGTGGAGCTGTCGAATTTCTACACATAATGGTAGGGTATATGATAGGAGAATAGAGTTTGGCAATCATCATTGGAAATCTTAGTCATATGACCAGATCTGAGATAGTCGTTCATAAATGAACTGTATTGTTTACATAAGGAGCGATTCCTTATCAATCGGTGTTCTAGGAAATTGAAACGACCTGATTAAAATCGTTATCAAAGGTAGAAAAACGTTTATGATGTTATATCGAAGACTGGAACCTTTGGCACGATAATACACTACACTGTTTTACCACTAACCGAACCGATTTTTTAACGCCCCGACACGTGTTTCGCTGACTATGTTAGCATCTTCAGGAGAATATTGAAACAGTTTCAATCTTCTCCTGAAGATGCTAACATAGTTAGCAAAACACGTGTCGGGGCGGTTTGGTTAGTGGTAAAACAGTGTAGTGTTTATGATGTTGTTTTAAATCAGTAATATCTCTATCTCTTCATCTATCATTATTTTTATCTAAATGATTGAGATGTTACTTTCATGAATTACCTCCGATTTTGGAGCAATACTATCCATATTCTTGAAACGACATTTGGAAGGTATGGGCAATCAGAGCCAATTGAGACAATTAAATCAATCATGTTTCTCTTTGAGCAATATACCCTTGCAGTCTACGATCATCTCAAGTCATTCTGAGAAATGAACGCGCAACCAACGCAACCGAATGATGAATTCGAAGAGAAATCAAATGTAAAATTGTCTAAGTAATTAATTATCTCTAGTTACCGAGAAACATCTCGAAAATAATATTTCGTAAAAACGCATAAACGAACTGATAATGGATAACTCACGGGTTACTTCATTACCTAAATCGGGAAAGTATCGAATTTCGTGAATACCAGGAGTGAATCCAAAATCTAAACAAACAAAATCTGATTCATGGAACTGGCTGACGGCATAAGAATATAAGAGACGGAGCGATATGCGAAGCGGTTAAAACAGGAAAAGCAGTTATGACAGGAAAACTATATCGGGTCCAAATCATGTTATATCGATATGTAATGGAGTGTGATTAGGAGACAATGAAGAATAGGCACTACCACTCACCATTACCTTCCTCCTTCCTCGTATTATCTGAATGTGGTAGTAGGACTGGTGGCGATACCGCCTGATGATGCTTCTTGCTTGTGAGTACGTTCATCCGATTTGAACACCATTACTGTATCACTGACTCTTTTGAAATGAGGGGAAAGATAATGAGTATGGTGCACTTGAAGTATTCTAGAGCAGGACACACTCTTTTTCGTCTACCGAGATGTTCGAAACAAGTATATTCTCGTGCCTGTGATTGATCACGGGCTATATAATGAATATACGCAATAAATGAAGTTGTCCCTATCAGAAACTCCAACTGCGCATACGTACATGTCAAAATAACGTCGACTTTTTTCATGTTTATCGATATATGGGATTGCGATATATATCTATTTAGCGTTTGTTTCACCATCATCTGCCTATTGTATATATTTTCAACAAGAACCATTTTTGCAGGTATGGACAGCTCAGTGGAATGGTAGAACCAATTTTTGGAGTGCTGGGCGCTCTATCCGTTAGTATGGCGGTACCGGCGCTGCCCTACGCCCTTTCCTTTGCTGCTGGTGCCATGATCTATGTGGTTGTTGACGACATAATCCCTGAAGCAAATACAGAGTAAGTATTCAATAGGCACATCACAACATTATTTTTAATGACTATGCACCAATTCAGTGTATCGGCGAATACCCAACACTGTAAAAAAGGATACGGTTGAGTCGATTCATTTCTGCTCATCAACTTTCTTGATAACGATCAAGGAAAGTTTTAAAAATTGTTTCCTAAATTGATAATTTTTTCAGAAATTGAATCTCAGAGCAGGCATCGTTGTTTTTTTCATTCCCTCGCTAAACTGGCGCACTCAAATAGTTAGCTTTGGGGCTCGACCCACTATCACACTATACTTTTTTCACAACTGCACGAATTCAAAAAAATCGAGTATTATAATTTATTGATATTGATTTCATACTGTGGCACTTCGCAACATTGAATATTGTGATCTAAGAGTAGATGCCTTTTCTTTAGACGGGAGAGTTGACATCAAATTTTCTTATCTGATTGATAAATGGATATCTCTCGGGATGTCTGGCAGGTCTTCAGCGGTGGAGGCAGCCGTGGTATGGCTGTTAAGGATTGAAAACACTCACAAAGCAACGTACAGTCAATAAAGCGCTGAATTAGTGGGTTGGTAGCCAATTATTTTTGCTTTCCAATAAATATTATGCCAGATACATTGAGTGTTATAATCATTGCGCCAGACAGCGTTAATAGGCCAATCAAATGAGGATTCTTTGATTAATTGATTGTCACCAAGCTAGAAATCGTTTCAATCTCATCATTTGGCCCTGAATGAGTATAATGTGAGTTTGCATTATCCCAGGAGGTGAGCTCAACCTTTGGAAGCCCCAAAGAGTAATGTATCTGCACTATTTCTCAGTTTTTTGCTTGTAGCTCGAAAACAATGCGTCGGACGAAAAATGACACCTGAATCGATAATGAAGAGGATGAGATTCTGCGTGGAATGAGAGAATGAAACTTCAATTCGTTCCAGTAGCACATTCGAAATTAAGAGTCAGAAACCAGAAACTTTTTTTCATATCAATGCGAGCTTTCATTTTGCGACATTCTAGGACCACATATCAAAACAGATACTTCTATCGAAAAAAGTCATAGGATCGAAGTTGCATGCAGATAATGAAATGTCAAGTTATACAGGGTGATTCAGATTGGGTGATAGATCTCATAATTTCAATAGGAAAAGTTGCATGAATTCAATCTCGATCAGTAGCGAATCTACTGGGGACCGAATTTTTTTTTCTATCAATTGATATATCCTGCTCACTTTTGTAGATATCAATTTGGAATTTGATGTGGTCAATACTTTCTAGGATTCAATCATTTCAAGCGTTTTATAGATTTTATAAATCTGCAAATGATAGATTTTTGGAGGTATAAGCTTCTCAATCTTCCCCAAACTTCTTTGAAGTACACCTCTGTTATTCCTTGGTTTCTGAATAGGTTGCATCGTGCAATTTAGAAGCTGTTTTTGCTTTCCGATTTTTTTCGAGAAAAGAACCGTTTTCGAGGCAAATAGGCACATATCGGCTCTGAAACATGTTAATTCTATTTTTTTTTTCTCCTAAATTTTATTTTTGGACAAAATTAGTTTACAATATTGACATGCGCATAAAAATAATCACATTCCTCGAGGAGATTCTCCTTGACAAGTTAAATGCTATTGTATTCGTTATATTGAAAAATATAATATTGGATGAGGAATATGGATACAACTGATACTGGATGGGGCTCAACCAGTGAGTGGCTCGGAATGAATTTTTCGCGTCGTCGTTTTGAGCGCACGAAAGGGAATCCCTATAATGTTGAAAGTAACCTGATTTTCTACCCTCTGTATTCCCGCTCCCGAGTCAGATTGAAATTTGATAAATTTCATTGCATCAGGCGAATGAAAATAGACAAAATTAACATGTTATTGCAGGAATGTGCTTATTTATCTCGAAAAAGGTGCGTTTTCCAAAAAAATTGAGCTGCAGCAAAACTCTTCGAATTGAACGATTTACCCTATTAGATGGTAACTGGAAGATTTCAGAGGCGTACTACGAATCAGTTCGTGTGGAATAAAGAAGCCTCTCTGTTCAAAAACGTATCACCCAGTCAATTTTGGAAACCTCTGAAATACTTCATATATATGATCTTCTAGAAACTATTGATCACATCAAAATTCATATTGATATCTTCAGAAGTGAGCGATATATTTCAATTAATAGGAAAAACATTATTCAAGCGAGATATTTCAATTGATAGGAAGATTATTTAACTTCGACCCCCTGTATTTCCGCTACTGATCGGGATCGGACACATATTCATAAACACTTTTTTGATGAAAATGATGAGATCTATCACTGATTTCAGTTTGTACCACAAAATATGGATCTCCTTGTATAAAGATATTCTGATATCTGAATTCAGTCATTTTGTAGGATTATGCATGAATTCAAAATCGACCATGAATAAAATTCTGAAACTTTTGTGAAAGAAAGTGTTATGACACGAGCGGATCTCTCCTGACCAATATTATCAAATTATTTTCATGATATTTTCAATGTATGTACAAAAAGAGCCAATAATTCCAGTGTATTCCATTATTTTTACTCCTATTTTCATCTATCAGTTGTTTGTTTCACTTTTGCGATATTTTATAGATATATTGGATAATTGAATGGTCTATTCGAGAAAAGCTGGATTTTGAAGATATGCAAGAGTTTCTGATTGAGTAAATTAGGTTATAGAATAAATGGTCGAGGAAAAGAATCAATATCATGATGATACCATAGACTGATGATACCCACTCTTGCATTCCAGTAGTCAAAACAAAACCTGTCGCCTTATGAATGTGACATATTCGCGAACCAAGGCTTCATCACCATCAGAAGGTCTGACAAGTTTTGGTCTGATGTATTCACTGATCAGATATTTGAGCAGGTCGTCATGAATTCTCTGAAAGCCCAACGCTATCATATGGACGAGGCATAACAGAAAGCACTCTGGTGGTCGAGTATCTGTTTCCAAGATATTATGTGGTCCTGGAAAGTCGCAGAATGTTAGTTTGCACTGAAATGAGACAAGTTTCTGGTTTTTGAGTCTTGTCAGTCTGCACTGAACTAAATTCGAAGTTTCATATTATAAGCTCATTTCACGAAGAATGTAACCCTCTTTATTATATAATTGTCGTTTTTCGTCTGTCGCGATGTTTCAGAGTTACAATCAAAAACCTGAAGAAAAGTTCAAAAATGTAACTCCTTTGAGCTTCCAAAAATTGAGCTCAACTCCTGGGATGATGCAAACTCACATTACAACTATTTTGAGCCAAATGAAGGGATTGAAACCATTTTGCAATTGATTCCTTGAAAAATCCTTATTTGTTCGGCCTATTTACGCTGTGTTGCGGTATGATTTGTAACACTCAATGTGTCTGGCATAATTTTCAATGAAAAGCGAACATAATCGGCTACCAACCCACAAAAATTCAGCGCTCCATTACATTTACAACTATACCACGGCCGCCTCTACCACTTAAAACATGCCAGACATTCCGATCAGTTTTCAATGATGTATCGGCAGTAGAATAGGGTAGAGATATCGATCTATTATATAATAATGCCCACAAAGTACACTTTTCAAATAAGAATAAATTTTTGTATTTTTTCCACATTCCACATTCCTGCATGCCAATTCATACACGGAGAAAAAAAATCACTAACCCTAAGTGAATATTTAATAGTGGCAAGTAAAAACTTGTATACTATATGGGACAAGGAAACAAGTTAATAACCACAAGAATATTTGTGTTCCTGAAAATGTACACCTACCACTATTGACCTGTTTCATTAAATTTCATAGTGATAACGGTTAGTGAACACATCACTTGTCATCAGTGACCTATTCAATTGTCATTAGTAACTCATTCACTTTCCATTAGTGACTTGTTCACTAGTCATTAGTGACTTGTTCACTAGTCATTAGTGACTTGTTCATTAGTCAATAGTGACTTGTTCACTAGTCATTAGTGACTTGTTCACTAGTCATTAGTGGCCTAATAGTCCTAATACCATGTCATTAGTGACTTATCTACTAGTCATCAGTGACTTATTTACTTGCCAATAGTGACTTATTCACTTGTCATTAGCTAGTATGAAAAAATACCTCCATTGTTCTCTGAAAAATGATAAAACCTTGGTAATAAGACAAAAACACATGCATTCAAAACATTTTATTATAAAGGTATGATGAATCCAGAAAATACAAAAAAGGTAAGGCTGACGACAAATATTGAGATACTAGATACCGCGTATATCAGCATCATGCACCAAGAAAAACGGTACTCTCACTCACTGCACTGCACTCTGGTTCACTATCTTTTTCCTTCCAGCATTGAACATGAATCAACTTTCATACTTTTTGAACGTCACTTCCTTCCACTTCGAGTATCATAGGGAGTGGAAAAAAATCCTGTACATATGTAGAAACAATTATGTACTGTTCTAGAAGAGTTTTGCATTTCATTATCTCCTTCAAGAGAATAGATCAGGAACTCAACACCCCACAGCTCAGAGCACGACCACAGAGCACGGCACACAAACAGAGAATTCTCATACGAATATAATATAATATAGTTGTCGAAAGGGCACTTGCATGACTTGGAATTTCAATGTTACTAGCGGAAACGCAAGTATACTAACTTCACGAATGCTAAGATCGAAATGACGCCGTGGACTCGTGGACACTGGACAGTGATCGCGTTGGGCGTGGGTACTCGAATAATATCGGAGATGTCCGAACGAAAAAGAAATCTATAACTACAGGTGAGCTGTCACCTGCAACAATCGACTTGATAGATTGTCTTTATTGATGAGTTCGCTCAGAGCAAGTGATCTTATGTCAGAAAAATAATTTAATAATAGTGAGTATTCGTTAACCTAACACTAGTTTAGTGTTCACTCAGAATTAGCGAACTCTAAGTACATTTCGACTTGGTTGATACCAACAAGTGTTCTGATCACTTACAGAAGAAACGTCGTTCTAGAAATATAGTTTTGCCTACTGCAAGTACCATATTTTCCTACCGTTGGTGAAAATGTTCTTGTCACAATCGACTTTTTTTCCAGAAAACAATTTACTTGGCCGAGTTTTCTCAGTGTA